AAAATGGTTTTATGGCCAATCAGAGTGCGCATACTATTTGAATTATTTTATAAACAGCTTTATTGCATACTTCCTTGTTTTTTGGATATCTTTTGAAGAAAATCTCATGTGATTCCTCAAACCTTGTTCTTATCAATTCCCATTCTTTCCCCTCACTCGTTTTCTCATTTGTATATGATAAAGCAACATTAAGCAGTATTGCTGTCTCCTCATCCGTCCAGGTGAAATATTCGTTATACCTGCTACTATTCGAATTGGTTTTTCTCTTTCGGGAAGCCATTCCTCATTGGGTTAGGAAGTGTTCTGGGTAAAATTTCCGCACAGCCCCATACTATATTATGCATTCAGTTCTTGGATAGAGGAAACAATGGAAAAACAATACATTGCCATTGGGAAAACAGATTTGTTTTACAATAGTATGGGGCTGTGCGGAAATTTTACCCAGTACCGTGTGAACGTAGCTTTAGTCTTGCGGGCCGAAACAAGCAAGCTTCGCGAGAACTAATATCAGGTGGCATACATTGAAATATGCAATGTTTTGGAATGCCAAGAATAGTAATGGCCTTGACTAGAAGCCTTAGATTTATCAAAAATCTCACTGGCGTTACCTTTGGGGTACCGTGTGGAAAACTACGACATAATTTTTTCGTTGTCGCATAACGCGTGAATTGTGTGGCCAGTATAATGTCGTAAAAGAGTGGAATGGCTAGTTACTGGTATTTACCCGTTTAAAGAGCAAAAGTTATGGTTCGTAATGGAGCTCATACTAAATTATTTGGGAAAACTCAAACAAGGCTGTATTCCAGATGGGCAAAATGGATACGCATTGCTCAATAACAAAAACGTTGATTAGATTCTCCAGAAGTAATTGTCGTTACAATTTTTCAGTCTTACGCACAAACCTGATTCAAAAGCTCCACCGAATCCATACGGAAATTCAATGCCATGTCACTACGCAGTCCAGATAACACATTCAATTGGTTTCCTCCGTCTGCTCGTTGAAATTGGTCGACAGCGTTAGTCAAGGCTAAGTGTCCAAGCCCCACCTTAGACACCAGGCCATCATTACAATGGCAACTCGCAACCATACTGGCACATCCCTGAGCGGCCGCGTACCGAATCTAAGAATGGTTGGGAAGGAGAGCTAAACAAAGTCGAACCTTATGAGTGCTTTTATTAAGTTTCATTTCCAGCTTTTCTATATGTAGTGCTTACTCGAGTAAAAACGAACGTCTTTTAAAAATTGAGGGCTGGAGGTCGGACAGGTGCCAAAAAGCAGAAACTTCTCATTTCGAAGCGCTTCAATCTGCGACGCAGACTAATTGTAAACCACTAATTTACTAATCCCGTGCACTGAATGCACTTTATTCTACTGAATTCTAATGGCCGATTACGTGATTCATGTTTGGAAGCAAGTGTAGCCCTCGCCATTTCCTGCAAGTAAACAAAACTTTTAAATATGTTCCAGGCGCACCAGTTTATGACTTGCTACCATATTTGGGTATGATGTTTGCGATCAGCAGATTTCGAAATGGCAGTAAGAAACAACAGAAAGAATGATCGTGAGCTTCGCTTCTTTCGCTATGATTGGGCTATTTCACGATACAGATGGATAGATGAAAATTGTCGTAATACAGTGTCTGGTTTCGGAACCGTAGAAAACTTGAACTTGGTCCATTCTTCGTCAGATGTCAAGGTGGCTAACAGCGTTTACATAAGCTAACTGAGAGGCGGCCCGTTTACTAAATTACTCGCCCCTGCTACATACAAAAAAAAAACTTCCATGGAGTGGAAATTTACTTTACTAATTTTTCAGCTGAAAGAAGTTGTATGGTGGACACCTCAATCGACTTCGATTCGATTGAGTGAGAAGAACATCTGCTACAACATTGATTTTTTATAATAGCGTATTAAAATGTAGCCATCATTGGTGATTGAAACAAATGTTGCTTGACCTCAGCGTTCTATTCTGAGTTCAGAGGCTCATGGCCACTTTGATTTCTGTTATTATTATTATTATTTATTATTTATAATTTTTCATTACAGCGAGGTTATGATTTTGTTATGAATAACGACTGGGTTTTCAATGGTTTCTTGGAAAATGAATGAAAATGAAAAATCTTTCATCCATATTGAGTTTGGTAGTAAAAGTTATCTTATTTACACATTACTTTATTAAGTGTTAACCTTTTCATAAATGAACCTAAAGGAACATTAAAGACATATTGGGTGTCTTGGTCTTCTTTTATTATAATATGTGAAATATTCTCCATACTTAAACATAGAAAATGAAACTAAACAGAAGAGAAGTTATTTGAAGTTAAACAAGTTACTTCTTCTTCTAGATTTCATTCAGAAAACATATTTCCCAAGAGGACTTGAAAACTCATGTGATCACATCTAAGAAAGGTAGGCGTGCAGATGAATACCCTTTAAACATTCTAACATACCTTTTTTTGCTAAAAGCAGGGAAATTTTTTTAATGATGAAAGTAATGGTAAGAATGTGATGTGTTTCTTAAAAAAAAAAAAAATTTAGTCAATAAGTGTCAGTATGTGTTTCTGTATACATATGCACTCAAAAACATTACTGTCGTCATACACTATTTGTAAGATCCATGTTAGCTTTTGGCTACCTATTATAGTTCTGTCTAATACCCTGAGGTAGTATATGGTCAGTAGTATATACCACACAGGTAAATGTTGCTTTTTTTGCATGCTGATTGGCAAAATCACATATCAGAGAGAATTCCTAACCATTTTTCTGTAAACTGATAGAAAGAAACATTTTTTTTGGTTTCTGTATTATATTCACTAAATATATATATATATATATATATATATATATATATTCACCTTCGTTTGGGTGAAAGTGGTAGAAATTTACTGAGCCCCCCTAACCACCACCATTCACCTTCAGTTCTGCATACATGTGTCAGCATATAACTGTTAACTATTTGTCAGTTATATACAGAACCTAAATGGTGTCAATGATAGCAATTCAAGTCTTTGTCTGTATTTTTAATTTTTTAAGAAAAGATAGTCACAAAAAGTCAAAGTCTTTGCTCCTTACAACCAGAAAATGAAGCTCAAGAGGTGAGTTTTCCTTCTTTTCTCTTAGCTCTGGCATTAAATATATTGTAAAATGTAGAAGTTGAAGGATGAAATTATATTTCTTTTTGCATGCAGATAAATTATTAATTTCAGTTACAAGAAATAAGGTCCTTTATTATATTTTGTATTAAACAAACCAACCAATTGCATACAAATACCTTGTGTGTTATTTCAAGTAATTCAGGTAGAAGAAAACAAATAATTCCTGTAGAGCAAAACTGAGTATGGTAGAGAAAATACAGAGCACATGTAACTATTGATACAACTCCCACCATGGTGAAACATGAAAGACTTAATGTAATTGAGATTTCTTCATTTTTTATTATATCTCCTATTGTTATATGAAATTTAGATTGCCAAGGGACATGGGACAATGATAAGTGTTTTACAAAGCAGACTTCTTAGATTGAAAGCAGCTCAAACACTTTGGCACAAGGTATTTGTTAATGATATATAAATTAAGACTATTTACCCACCCTATGCTTGTGAAAAATACACAAAATAGTGCCTTACTTTATATTATTAAATTTCTGTGAATAAACCAGTGTCTAGAAATAAGTTGGGTTTATTGTCCCATCAATGGTACCGTAAAAACCCACAGATAAGCTGCACCCTCAAATAAGCCACACCCTGAATTTAGCTGCTCAATTTTGGAAAAAAAAGTTTTTTGAAAGAAATCAGAAGAAATCCGAAGTTGAGTCGTGAGATGTCTTCTTCATTCACTGTTCATCAAACGTAACCCACTATTAACATTGCAATGGAAAATACTTCAAAGTCTTAATTTACCCACAATTTTAGCACTCTAATATAATGAACATCATTTCTACCAACTTTGACATATGATTGATCTTTCATAGGAATTTTCATATGATCTTTGACATATGATTGAATTGTTGACAGGAATGTCTTCATTCAACACAGGTTTTTCCATAGATTTTTGCATTACAACAAGAACGGGAGCGGAACATTCAAAGCTTAGTAACTAGGCATTAGATTGGATGCGAAAGTGGACATTGGCGTTGACATTCACAACACCTTTTTCAAATGTTCCTGCAGATAAGCTGCACCCCCCAATTTCTAGCAACAATTTTTTTAAAAAAGGTGTGGCTTATCTGCAGGTTTTTATGGTATTTTGATTTTTCAGAAGAGAATCAGGGAGACCATTTTCTTTAAATCAATTCTGAGTCCAATTCCATTTTAACTAGTAAATTTACATGTAGGGTAAATTGTGGTTGATTCAAGCAGACTGCTTTGAAGGTGCAAAATGTAAACAAACTACTTGCAGTGTAAGAAAACTTCACATTCAAGTTCTGAGTTACAACAGACAAAAGGGCATTTTCAAATTTTGATCTATCAAAGCCTTGTGCATTCAGTTCCATTTTTATGGTCAAATTTAATGTACAGTGCATGTAGTAAGGCAATTTTTTTGTGTTTTGTTTTTGTCCAATAAGTTATATTAAAGTTCACATGGCAACCAGGTGGACAATCAGACATGGTTTGATGCTACTCTGGTTTACAGATTTAATGAATGTAACCAAAGAAGTTACAATTCACAAAGAAGTTACGATTATAAATGTTGGGTCTAGGAATTGTAACTTCTTCAGTTACATTCATTAAATCTGTAAAGCAGAGTAGCATAAAACCATGTCTGATTGTCCAATAAGTATCCTTACTTTATGTTTTAAAACAGGACACCAATGCTTTGATAGAGTATCTCCTGCGGTAAGTTATGTGGCATGCAATTTACCTGGATGACTGTCGGGTCTTTGTACATTCCAACCCAGCCTCAGCACTTCAGCACCAAAATGATTAGGCAATTGTTCTGGTGTTTCAAGCTGTCATTAAGTAGACACTGCTTACCTAGTGTTTCAACTGATTTTTTCCTCTCTCTTGTCACTTGAATTTACATGGGCTCACTATTCACTGTTCACACCATTCAGATTATGGCACAAGGGTATGTTGCAATTATGTACAAGTACAGATAAGAACTGCTGACATTTTGAGGCAATCTTTTTCAATTGGTAAAGTCAAAATACTGTGATATCTGTTGTTTTTCTGGGCATTAGTTCTACCATGTTATCGATGGTAGTATTGCATTTAGTGAGACATGGCATATAGTTACTATGCTTTATGGTTGCTCTTTTGGGTAAAAGCAAGTGGATAGTAGAGATACCTAATATAGTTTTTTTTTTTCTGGTAGAGGCCAAAATGTTGTGAGAAAATAAGAAAAATTCATATTCCACAAACCAACATTACCAAAATTGCAAATTGAAGTTACTAACTCTAAACTCAACTTGCAGTTACTAACTAAAGCCAACCAAAAACTTTGTCACATTTGAAAACCACTTCTAAATATGCTAAAAGATGAAGTGGAGGAATAAGTAATAAATGTATATGAATTCTAAGATTGAAGATGAATACAAATATTTACATTTTATCATGATTATCTTACACTACACTTATCTACCCTAACAGACTGAGTCAGTAGATGGTTGCTTTTTAAAAAAAAAAAAATTGTGGGATTTTATGTGGGATTTTTAAAATTATCACAAAAGCTTGAGAAATGGACTTTTGTTAACAAAGTTAAGGTTAACAGATGACTGTTCGATCTCAAGGATAATTAATTCCTTTAAAATTATCTCCAACATCCATGAGGGGCCTTTGATAAGTGTTCCATTGTTTACAGTGATGTCATTAGTAATGCATGTCTTCTAGTGTACTTTTCACCAAACTTCAGTGTGAATGTCTCCCAACCCTGGCTACTGAAAACCTACTAATCTCTACACCCACTATTGAAAATCTAGATTCTCCAGTTTGCCACCACAGCCACTAGCACATTAGTGTCAGATGGTGGTAACCCTAACCCTCCAGAGACACCTATGAGACTGATGAACAAGTTATCTGGGGTTTTTCTTTATTTGTATGCACTTCTAATCATTTAGGTTGAAAGATGATGCAGTGCTGGTTGACATCATGCCATTTCTGACATGCAGGTACATGTGTGTGGAAGAAAATACAAAACTGTTGTGTTAAGTAACTAGTTTTGCATGTGTGTTAATCACATGCTGTGCATCTGTTAAGTAAGGTTGCCCTTTTTCTACTCAAGGTATGACACAGAGGCAAATGTGTCACTCCCTTGAGTAACACTGCAACCTTTTTTTCTATATACATGGCAAATTTGTCTGTCTTGTTTCTTTCCCTATAAAACATTTGTAACTAGCTGGGTTTTTTCATTGTAGAAACATGGGAATGCCATAGAAATAAAATTTTTTTATGCATAGCAAGAGGAGGAGATCAGGGCATTAGCGGGGGTATATTGAGTCCACAGAAAGTTAGTTGTAGTTTTAGATGAAAACTTAAGTATATTTACAGTCAAATGAAATAAATAATATTTTGACCCCAGTAACATTTAAGTAGAGAAATGACACTGTAGAAAAGAAGTCTGAAAAGATTTTACTAATTGGTACTATGAGCTATAAAGGTACAAGTTGGGATCAACAACTCATGCCTTACAGGCCCTTACTAACAAAATGCCACTTGAAATCCTGAGATTACCTGTACTGAAAAGATTATGAAGATGTGGTGTTTTTAATGCAGAAACTTTGCAAATTTTGTTAAATTGTTATAAAGGCAACCTAAGGAAAGCCCACAGATAGCCTACACACTCTTTCCTTGTTTCCAAGGATTTGTTTTCAGATTTAGAGATGTTCTATTAGCCTGTGTAAAGCCAACTCATCTGACTAGAAAAATCAGGGAGTAACTTTCCTATTTCGTTGAGGGAAGTGGGCATGTGAAACAGTTGACATTTTATTTATTTCCTGTTTTTTCAAGGCTTCAGAAGGGGTTTTCTATATTTCTTTATCCTTATCAGATAGATCTTTTTAAACTCTTTTAAGAAATGACAGTTTTCATACAGGCTTATAAACACAAAAATATCCTTGATATTTACTATTGTTCCTCAGTTCTTGTAGCCATGTCATGGACCAACCAAGCAAGATTGCTGAATAAATTTCTGCAGAAAAAATTTACTTCTCAATAGCTGTTGGTTGTTTGTTATGAATCGGAACTGGGCTGTAGAGCTTTCTTAAAAAATTCAGTGGTGTTTGTTGTCTTTCCTTCCTCAAAATATACTTTTTTGAGGTTCCACATCAAAAGGAAAGTACTGAACAATAATTGACTAGAAATTAGAAAAACAAATGGCTTTAAATTTATTCAATGTCATGACAACATGTTTTTCTTGTCAGCAGAGTGCGTGATGTGTCACCCGAAGGACAGGCCTTGTCAATGGGGGCATGTCTAGAAATTTTACCTCCACTTGAGAGACTCCTTACATCTAAATTCGAAGAGTGAGTTATGGCACCTATTCAGTGAACTCACTTGTTAGGGAAAGATTTATTTATGGTTAACCCCCAAAAATGTAATCTTTGCACATCCTCACACAGTTGTAATTTTCAAGACTTACCAAGGCATCTGATATTTTCTGAAAGGTTACCACTGGAAATGAAAATATGATATAAAATGATTTGACAAATGAAAGGACTTAATTTTTAAAACTAGAGAATCACTACTATGCAGAAAAAAGATGTGAAAACATGGGTATTTCTAAAAGTCAATTTTATTTCATGAATAATAATTTAATAACTCACATTATGGAGAAGTACTTGCAATACATACTCAAAGTAGAAACAGTAGATGAAGGTCTTGTTTTCAAGTCACATGTAGTAATTACCATGAAGTAGGTAACAGGCATGCAAAGTTAGCTGAGTGGCTGTAAAGTGATTAGTGTTAAACTTTTATTCTATAGTTACGTTATTGCTGGACTGGACATGATCAGGGAAATGGTCAAACGCTGGTGGATGCAATTGAAAGCTGCAACAAGTAAAGGTGTGGAGCCAGAGTGGCAGAGATGCAGCAGGTACATAAATCACCAGAAATTGTGAATGTTGTGAAGAGCTGTTCAGACAGTATTGATGCTATTCTTAAGACAAGACTTTCTTAGGCTGGAACTTTTCTATTTTACCTCAGGAGTGTGAGCGGCATGTACATGGCAATCGTTTCTCTTTCTGCCATCATTGTCAAAGTTTCTAAAAGAAAGGGACCAGTGGGCGAGAAAGCTCTCGTAAGTATTGTCGTATTGATACTAAGAGTAGGAGAAGAACAAAATAGCACTAATGAAGAAAGATGATTTTATGCCTGATAAGACATTCTGAGTTCTCAGAGTCTTACTATGAAGTGACTGATGTTAGCGAAGCGATATCGGTGACTGTGTATTGGGAATTTTTAAACGTGGACATAGGAATGCTGCATTTTTAGAAATGTTCTATCAACCTTCTGAAATTACACATTTTTCTTTGAAGCTTCCAATGATTTAATGATTTTAAATGATGAATTGATCAGAAGCAAAAAGAGATTGATGAAAAAGGAACACTGAATAGTTTTCCTAATTTAATGTTCCGTTGATCTCCCAAGGAACAAGTAGTTGCGTGCTTTTCATTGACTACTCCCTGGGTTAGCAGACATTCCGGGGTGTCTTCGCATTTCCTGACATCTCTTTTCTCATCTGTGGTCTTAAAGTTAAGTTGACAGGGTTTTATCGTATGTTCATTCCTTACAGGTTGTCACCAGGCTGTTAGATCTACTATGAAACAGTGTGTAATTGGGTAGAGCGGTGATTAAATTGTACATAGGCTGATGAACATTGGAATGGTTTACACTGTTAACAAATGCTATTTATTTGTTGTATTTATTATTTATTTGTTCATTTTTATCTTATATTCTACAACTTACGTGGTATCTGCTTTGACATGGATAAGGTATTAAAAGATGTGTTAGATCTCAGTTCTGTCAATAAGTTATGTTTGAAATATGATATTTGACGTTTTTAATTTGAGCCTATACATTCACTCGGATCATTGACATTCTTCAAAGCTTTCAAGTAGTTTTCACCCTTTAACTCCCATGAGTGATAATACAGAATTTTTCCTTACAATGTCACTAGAATATCAGGCAGATAAGGGATAAGAATAAAAAGACTAGAATACACTTATACCCTACAGGGTTAATTCATTCAGCTCTCCACGAGTTTTTACGAGTGGATGGACTGTTCAGCGAATGTGAGCAGAAGACTCGTTAGTTCGAAAGTAGTTACGCTTTTCACAGAGCTAGAAATCCTTGTAAAACACCGTAGTTTATACTAAACCATCAATGAGGTGTGGCGGGGACTAGCTATCGAGCACACCACGCCCGGCGAAAAGCACCAAGACTCTCGAATTATCTTTTTCTGCCTTCTTTAACTACTCGGTTCTCCAGTACACAATTCCACTTACATCCAAGCGTATTTCATTCGGTGTAACTCTGGTTAATCTCTTAAGCTCTCACACCTTTGATTCTCACTGGATACCTCTTCAACAACGGAATTGTGATTCTACCCTACTGCACACCGTCTACAGTCTCCTTGTCTTCTCTTTTCTGTTACGGGAAAATTTACTGATTTTCCCGTATGTGTTATTCGGTACATATTCATTCGTAAACTTTCACATTTAACCATTTCAAGTCCTTTCATTTTAATAAATCAAAAAATGCATAAAAAAAAAAAAACCACAGTGGCTTTTGAATAGATTTTTGTTGTTACTCGCTTTCATCATATGTACCTGCTTGTCGGCACTTTTGTCATCTAGTACATGGGTTTTTTAGGTAAATATAAGTGTTAATGGTCTTTCTGGAAACATTGGTTTTCATGGTAGATAGCAGCTGAGTTTAAACGCGTAAATCTAATTTCTTTCATGCGATGGTTTCCAAACCAATCTTGTATAAATAAGCAGAAACTTTTAATTGCTTTTTCGTTTTCTATTTCCTAAGCTGCGCTGCTGCAATTAAGATAGGTATTGTTTTCTATATCAGAGCTGTAAAATCGCACCTAGGTTTCCTACTTTAATGGCCTAGAGTTTATTGCATCCGTCTTTTTAATTTTGAGGTTTTTCCGTCGTAGAAACAGATGGAATATTTAAGTAGTTTTCGTTTAACTTCAAAGAGACTTTTTTCCGCTTCTTTGTGTCCTTATTCAAATATTGCGATTTGTGTAACAATAGCACTTCGCACCAGCTACTTCTTAAGCAAGTACCTTGTACAGCTTTGATGATTACAAACTAGGGTATGCTAGAGGTCATGTCGCTTGTTGGCCTGACCTAGAATAAAAGTACTGTGGAACCAAAGATTGTCTTATCCTTGACGTCCGTATAAGCTCGCTCGAAGCAGATCTCCGTGTACCAGGAAATCGTGACGAGTTTCCGTTCTCGCTGCCAAGTCGTCTCTACAGAGTTAGTTCCCCCAGTTGTTATTGTTCCGTCCGCGAAGATTCAGTCAGTTTTCCAGTTGGGCGCGAAAACCTATCGTCACATTTCATTGTTCTCTCCACTCTCTTTTCTCTCTTATCTCCATTCTCTTTCAAGTAAACTCTAACGAAAATGCGTATATAATCGCTACTGACCCATATTGGTAAGCATGCCAGCTGGCCAACCCGGGAAGATCAAACATTTTTTGTTAGAACGCTAAACCAAACAATTTCACGAGACTTTCGTTCTGAACAATTAAGCACTTAATCATAATGCTTCCGATCAACTGAGTAAACTTCTGACTGCGTTAGTCAAAACGGGAACTTTTGGCTGAGGCTGTCATCTCTTGGATCACCGACTTCCTCACCTCGCGCAAAATGCGAGTTAAGCTCGACCATGACTGCTTTTGGGAATGGGGTGCAGTCCCAGCGAGGGTTTCGTCAAGTTACAAAACTGGGGCTGTTCCGGCGAACGTTTGATAACGCCGTCCGTTGGGACGGCCGAACAAAACGCTGCATGCTAGAATTTAAGTCTTAACTAATTAATATTCGAATAGGTCGTGTCAGTTGGTTAGTTGTCGTTCAGCAGTCGTAGAGTTCGGCCAAAAAAACAGTACCTTAAGTCGCTGCGTTTTCGTTTCGAATTTTGTGATAGTTGTAGAATTTATCGTCGAAACACATTTTGGTCCTTCGAGCCGGATCAATTACAGTTGATTCTTCGAATGGCGCCGAAAGTGGGATCCAAAACGCCCTCGGAAATCGGCAAAGAGGACATCGAAACATGGACTTCGCAGCAAATCGAGTATCTTCTTTGAAGATGGGCAGCGTGCAAAGGAGCCGTTACGAAGAGTTCATAGAAGGTAAATGATATTATTAGCTAGAAAGGTGGTAGAACGGTGCCACGAACCGTAAAGGAAAGAGTTTTTCAAGCATTACAAGATGCGAGTAAAACAACGCAAGACGTAATTGCCTTGAAAAGCGATGATGTGACTAAGCGAGCAGAATCAGGAGAATGGTTAGACAATTTGCAGAGCGAAGTGGAGGACAGCGTCGACTCTCGAGGAGTATTTAGAGAGCCGTGCAGATGAACCGCCATCAGTAATAGGACAAATTTCCGTGGTCGCCGATGCAGTTTGCAAAGTTGACGAAAAGGAAAGTCGGAATCGGAGTCCGGAATCGTCTGATGATTCGCAAGTTGTCAGCTCAGCACAGAAGTTCGTAGAATTACTGTCGAAATCTGCTCAGTAAAAAGGGAATAAATCAGCTCCTAAATTCAGCAATATAGATTCTAACTCGGAAGAGAAAGAAACTGAAGAAGACGAATTAGACAAAGGCAAATTCGACTCGAAATATTTTGACAGATTGTTCAAAGGAATCAAGAAACCCGCTTTAACGGTCTTCAGCGGCGATAAAGACCTTTATCACGATTGGAAAGCGAAATTTGAAATATTCGTGGATCGGATGAAAGTGCCAGCTAAAACCAAAGATGATGATGTTGAAGAATTCTCTGTCTGGCAAGCTATTAGGAGTTGGTGAGCGGTAAGGCTACACATCTAGACAATATCAAACTGCCTTGTAGAAATGAATGAAGGGGGTTTTGAGCGTTAGCCCTTCGTCAGAGCGATTGACGAAGGGCTAACGGAAACGTCAGCTTTTTTACCCTTTACGATGGCCAATTTACGTTTTCAACTCAGTTGTTAACACTAAATTACCTGCCTTGGAGAAACTTGATGAGAAGTACGGGGGTGAAAAGCGACTTTTGCAACGTCACCTCGAAGCCGTTTTGCGTGCGTCTCCTGTCGAAGAGACTAACCTAAAGGAGTTGGAGATTTTCTCAGATCGTTTAACTGACGTTGTGACTAAGCTTAAGGATAGCGACCAGCATCAAGAGTTAGCAGGAGTATCTGCACTTTACATCGCAGTGCAGCAAAAGTTGTCAGAGTCTCCTCTTATCGCGTACCAAGAGTGGTTGCACAGGAAGGATGGACTATCCGTATTTTCTAAATGGTTACAGAAGCAAGTAGTTTATCGTATGGACGTCGAAGAAGTTAAGGAGCGAACAAGGAAAAAGAAAGAAGATAATATCGGGTCTAAGAAATACAAGCGTGAGAAAGGAACAATTCACAACTTTACTGGTGAGCCCATACCCAAATGTGTTGTCTGTCATGGACCTCACCAAGTAACCTCATGCAAGAACCGGAGTGAAACATCCATTGCGAATAGATAGGAAATCGCAGAAAAGAATGAACTTTGTTATCGTTGCTTGAGATCAGGCCATCAAGGGAAGAATTGTCCGGAAAACGATCGTTGTGGTATCAATGATTGTAGAGGCACCCATCACTTCCATCTGCACTTCGTACGTCGATCTAATCCGCCTGAACGTGTAGACACTGCTGTAAAAACACGAAGCGCTTTCGGCGACTCTGAGTTTGCAGGGGATGTTATATTGCGAACAGTTTTTGTATGGCTTATAGGCCCGGAGGGTCAAAGCATCCAAGTCAATGCCTTCTTAGACGACGGGTCAGATGATTCAACTTACGTCAGAGATGACATCGTAACAGCCCTTGGCCTCGAGACTGATGAACAAACCCTCAGATTGACAACCTTGACAGACAGTTGTATTCCTCTCAAAAGCAAGAAAGTCCCGCTGACGATAAAGAGTCTCAATGGGGAGACTCAATCTACTGTTGAAGCATGGACACTGACTGAAATGTGTCAAGGCTTGTCTATTCCAGACTGAAATCAGCACAAGGTCAAATGGGAACACCTAAAAAAATTCCATTTCCTAAAGCCTCTGAAAGGAAAACGACTGACATTCTGATCAGATCAGACCATCCTGATCTTACGTTAGCCTTGACAGAATGTTATGGTCGAATTGGAGCGCCAGTAGCAAGAAAAGCGCTATTGGGGTGGACCTGTGTTGGACGTTTACCCGCCCTTTCTTCAGCTAAAAAGGTTGCCCACGCCAAAACCTTTCGGATCCAGACCTTGTGCGAGACCCGTCTCGATGAACAACTACGAGGAATGTGGGAGATCGACTCACTTGAAGTTAGAAATTCAGACGATAGTCAGTTGAATCAGGAGGAGATCTTAGCTATGTCAAAGGTCGAAAAGTCAAGACGATGGATCGGGGGCCGTTACGAAAGGAAGAGTTGCCCTCCTTACCTGACAATAGAGAAGAAGCAGAGAAACGTTTGTTCTCTTTGGAAAAAAACACCTCAAGAAGCCAGAAGTTGCGAGACGTTGCAAAGAAGCAATGAATGCGAATGTCGAGAAGGGCTACATTCGGCAGTTAGAATCTTACGAGGCAGAGGAAGGTCCAAGCTGGTACCTTCCACACTTTCCAGTGAGACCACTAAAGTACGCATAGTATTTGACTCGGCTGCACGTTGCAAGGGCGTTTCCTTGTATGATGCAATGCTTACTGGGCCTAAACTTCAACGAGATGTCCTGGAGATACTTCTACGATTTAGACTGAGACCTGTCACCCTAGTAGCAGACATCAAGGAAATGTTTCCCCAAGTGGTCCTCGCTGAGAAAGCCCGCAAGTATCACAGACTGTTATGAAGAGATCTCGATCTCACAAAGCCTGTGGATGTCTATGAAGCAGTCCGTTCAACCTTTGGAGACAGAGCATCCCCTAATCTAGCCCAGTTCGTGCTTCGCAGCCACGCCCTAGAATTTAAAGAGAACTACCCAGCAGCAGCTATGGTCCTGCTTCGAGATATGTACATGGATGATATCTTTCACTCAGAAGAAACTGTAGAAGACGTCGTTCTCGTCCGTGAAGAATTGACAAAGGTCCTGGGTAGCGCTGGTTTCCATGCCCAAAAGTGGTGTAGTAATCGAACAGAGCTTCTAGAAGAAATCCCACAAGAGGATCGAGCAACTGGAGTAAAGCTTGACAACTCAGAACTACCAAGTGTCAAGACATTAGGAGTCCGTTAGAATGCGAGTGAAGCTGTTGTCACGTTTGTTATCAAGGAAGTCATCACGAAGCGATGCCTGTTAAGTCGTATTGCTACACTGTTTGATCCATTGCAGCTCTTGGCGCCATACATCATCAGAGCAAAAATGGCTTTACAAGAAGCCTGGTTGCGAGGTCTTGAATGGGATGAAGAGTTTTCTGACGATTTAAAGTTGATCACTCATCAGTGGGCCAAACAGTTGCCTGAAGCTCTACAGGTCATAATCGCACATTGCTATCGACTGCACGAGGAAGCAGTGGAAGACGTCTGACTTTAGACATTCGTTGACGCGTCAAGACTTGCCTATGCCGCAGTAAGCTGTGCCAGATACGAACACGTGAGTGGACAGATCTCAGTCGCCCTAGTGACAGCCAAAGTAAGAGTAACACCGATTAAATCCGTCAGCATCCCACGCTTTGAGTTAATGGCACCAGTACTCGGAGTGCGGTTAGCCGAAACGGCCTCTGAGAAGCTAGAAATTCCGCTAAGTCAACACACCCTGTGGACAGACAGTATGGACGAAGTCTACTGGATCCAGGGTCACTTAAGACGACTGAAGTCATTTGTTGCTAATCGAGTAGCCGATTCAAATTCAACGGAAATCGGACCCAGCTCAGTGGCGACATGTACCAGTAGAATAAAACCCCGCTGTCGACGCAACAAGCGGCCTGGACCTGAAAAACTTATCCGCTGAAAGTTGCTGGTTCCAAGGACCTGCCTTGCTACTTGATGAGAAGACATTCTGGCCCAGGGCTGGATACAGAATCGTGCAACTAGTTTCCAGAAACTAGTCAGAATAGTTAAGACATTTTAAAAACCATAGAAAACCATGCCAGAAGACGCCAATTCGTCCCAGGCGTTTAATTATAATGCAGAATTTGTTAATTCCAACTGCACTGCATTTTTTGCCAGCCTCCAGCGGACCAGCACCTTGAGTTTCACTGAGCCCAGTCTTCACCCCTCCCCCTCCCCCTCCGTAGCTCTCTGCTCAATGTGTGCACTAGTGCAAATTTTCTATTTAACAAATAGAGAAGCCTTGACTGTGCTCTGTTCTGTTGTTAATGATATACATTAAAAATTACTCAGTTTTGATTGGTTGATCTCGGAAACGACGATTCCATTTCATTGAAAGTGATTCGGACACAAACTGAACAATTCCTTGAACTGTTTAGCCGGACTTTGAACTTTTTTGCGCCTTTAAGGTGTGAAGATACCATTGTATATTATTGTTTATATAATAAGCTCAGTTATGCACACATTCTGATTGGTTCTCACTTATGATCTATTAGAGGACAGACGCATAGATGACGTCATCATTAAAACTTTTGCTCTCTGTTATTCTAAAATGGAAAGTTTTGAAAATTTAGACGATATTTTACCTGACTGGGTGAGCGAAGATTTCGAAAAAAGTCTTGTCGAGGCTGTGGACAGTTACGATAAACAGGAGAAAGAAAGAAAATCACGTTTCTATGTCGAAAACGACTTGACAAAACTACTTAAGCAGTCGCAGTCGAACGCGACTAAAAGAAACACAAAATGGGTAGTGAAATTATTTCAAGGTAAGAAGCCATTGCTTTGCTTCGAAATTAACGAACTCAATAAGCAAAAGTTGTCTGAGATTGATTTATTAGGAAAAAAAAATTCTTTTCTCAATGTCAAAATAATTGTTTACACAGCTTGGTGTCAGGAAAGAAACATCACAACACCACTTCTTAAAATGAACACTAAGGAATTAGACCAAAACCTAGCAAGATTTTATGTGGAAGCCAGAACAAAACTAGACCCTGTGATCAGGGTAACTGGGATACCTGGATGGTACTGGATCCTTGTGTAGTGATACTACGCGTGTCGGACTAGTATACTGAAATAGTGAGCTCAGGTCTGGCCAAGGGCATACACCTATTTCAAAACATAGGCATGCTATGCATGCAAGAGTTACTTTTTTGTAGGGTGGGTGGATTACTTGAAACATTGTGAGTGATTTCTACATTCTTACAAAAGGAGAGAAGAACATTAAAGTGGGAAAGAACGAAAATGTCGAATTACCTTACTCACAGGTATTTTGTGGTAGATTATGTGTGTTAATAAATAAATGTAACCAAAAATAAACTGTATTGGTTCCACGGATACCTGTTAGTACAAAATGCAGACAGTAGACTGCAGACCGAATACAAAATATAGACTGCAGACTGCAGAGTGGGTACAAAATGCAGACTAAGAATCTGAAGAGTTTTTACGTCTGGTATATAATAACATGTCATCTTACAGCTCACCGATCGTCACGCAATCGCTTTTCTGCGATCCGCCTTCACGATTACTTGCACTATTGTGGAATATTCCTGGCCCATTTCTTGATGAAAATCAATCGCAATATTATTCCAAGCCTTCAATATAGTCTTCTTACTTTGCGCGCGAGATTGTTGGTGTGATGTCTGTACAGATTTTACCAACGTAATAAAAGTAGATGACGTGAATAACAGTGATGGTAAAGCAAGTTTAAAACGGCCGAAATCGCCAAAAAATACAACGGATACACAGGGTATGCGTAAGTTTTATTGATTTTACGAGAAAAATGTTCATATTTCGAAATATGTATCGTTATAAATCGACCATACTTCGTTCCCTATACTATTCCTTATAATGTGCAGTTCCTCTCGTTACTTAACATCGAGTCACACAACGCGTGACGTGTTCATGAATTAATCGTTGGCTTTTT